AGCAAATTCAAAATCAAGTTGATAAATGTGTGGGTATTCTGAGTATTACGTTAATCACGGAGGAAAATTTTACGTTAATCTCAGAGGAATTCTAGTAATCACAGAGCACAATCGTAAGGTGTTTACCGTATGAACGCCGCTGACTCTCTCCGCAGCTCGAACCGCCGATCACAAGTCAGTAGTCACTCCACGGTCCACAGACGGTGAAGCGATGATTAGCGATCCATCAAATTTTGCGGAGAATAAGGTGGATCTGAAATTTATTCCAACATATGCTTCATGGTTGAACTAATTATGTACTTCAGCAATGCTATGCTTATTCCAAATATCCACGTCTCGGACAAATTTACGGCCGGACCCGCGGCCGGTTTCGCGGCCGCCGGACTCCAAACATAGAAAAACCTAGCCAATCAACGAAAACCTCGCAGGTTAGGTCCAGTTAGGAACAGGTTCCATTAAAAACTAAAAAAAAACTAGAAAACCCCATAAAAACACCAAGAAAAACTTCCGGCGGGTCCGGCCGTAAATTTGTCCGAGACCTCAAATATCCAAACGCGTTGGTACTATTCGTAAATTTCGCTAAATTCGCTCAGACGCGATATTTCATGTATCCGTCGATGGGCACTATATCATTTGCACTGCCATTAGGTTTTTTGTTTATTTGTTTGTATTACAACCAGAATAAGCGGAGATGAAAGACGCAATAATGCAAAGCTTGGTAATTCCACTCTCATAACTTGGGATAATATTTTTTGATATTTCTGTAATTGTTCCGGACTTTTTTTTCGCATCCTGGAGCATTAAAATATGACTCATGAATGAAGGCGATATTAAAAAGAATTGTCACGAGCTTGACATCACCCTCAGGCCATAGTGAATACGTTTACAAAGTTTCATCGAGCTACGTTCGGTACTTTGGGAGATATTCCAGGTACACTGAATTTGGACAGCGCAGCCGCGAGACCGGCCGCAAGTCCGGCCGTAAATTTGTCCGAGACGTGCCTTAACATGAGCTTGCGCGTTAAGACGCTGCATCAGCTGCTGTAGGTCGAGTTCTTCAATAGGTTCAGTCGCTGGAACTCCACTCGCAAACAAGATATCGGTCCGAATATTCGAATGCTATTCTAGCTATTTATTTGCAGAGCTTGTGCGTTGAGATAAATTGTTTGAACTTTATATTACAACAGATATAAAGAAGGTAAATTTCGCGACGCACACGTGATTTATAATTTATTCTCCACCTATCGGTGTCCAAAGTATTTCTGAATCAAAGTTTTTATGGTAGATCCACTACTCCAACTAAAGAATCCCAATAAGGGGTGAAAATTCCGTAGATTATAATAATAATAATAATAGCGGTTTCAGCGTTTATTAGGCCGTAGGCCTGTCGCCGATTCTTAACATCGCAGAACATTCACAGCATTTCGCGGTCTCGAACTCGCAACTAACTGCTTCAATTCTGCGTTGCTTAACCGCCCGGCCTCCTTGCCGATTCTGACCAGAAACGCGCACAGAGCTGGGATGATGGGATCGAACCCGCGCCTCTCTGCGCCAATCGTGGTACTCCTGAACTGTAACCACTGGGCCACCCTGCCCCTAAGGCACGTACAGCATCGACATGCGGTACCCCAACGTTTGCACAAGCATAGCCATGCGATGCACTAAAGCTTGCAACAACATCGTCATGCGATGCCGCAAGCTTGCACATGCTTTTCCTTGCGATTCCTCAAACTTGCACAAGCATCGCCATGCGATGCCACACGCCTACACCAACAATGATAGAGCCAACCATTAGCATGAGTTGTCATCGTCAAGGATAAGATTTCATCTGAACAGTTTAACTAGGGGGATTGGATTTTTCCGAAACTGAATGTTATTAAAAGTTTCGATTTCAAACAACAATTTCCGAGTGGTAACTAAAATACCCTAAGTTTTTACGTAAGTTATTCAAAAACCTCAACTTTAGGAATTAAAAACCCGTTATTAAATTTTATAGTGAAGTTTATTCGAAACGTAGTATAACGAGAAAGAACAATTCAACGTCAGAAGTTATACATTATATTTCTCCTCTGATATTCAATGTAACAGTTTTATGCCGTTAAAATACACACGATATGTGTAAAGCTATTACTCGCAATGCATCATAAACACAAATGCATGAAAAATTGCTTTACAAATTACGGAGGCTCTGCAAGTATTCAAAGCAGAATAACATCCGGAATTCTGTCAATGACAAAGAAAATTTATAGGTCTTAAATAGTTAAGAGGCGGAGATATCATGTTCAAACTTCTAACTCCAATTATAGCGTTTATAATACACTTCAGTCAGAAGCACAATTAACGCAATTTTTCACGTTTAGCTTACTGTTCATTATCCACCGAAGTAATATTATCAAACATCGCAACCAAGCCTCGCGGCGACGCACGCTGGCGGGAAGGGACCTCACCACGGCTGAACCCTAAAGGCTCGGTCGTGGTATCGCAGCGCCACCCCTGAGGCTGAGGACACGTATTGGGATACATGATCAGAATTTATTAACTCAATGTCATCAACAACCATTCCGACAAAATCAGAAGGCAGTCCAGCAACGTGGGTGAGACGCTTGAATGAAAGCTCTTCTATTGACGAACCAATGATGAATTGCGTGAGTTCCACGACGAAGTTCGTGTCTACGAAGTTGCAATAGACTTGACAGTTTAGAGTGCGTAAACGGCGAAAACTAGACTGTAAACTCTTGACGTGGCTCAAAACAATTTGCCCCATCGGTAGAGTCAAGTCTTGTAGGTATGGACACAGCTCAAGTATTTTAATGATAAATGGAAAAAAGGGAAACAGATACTCGGGAGTTATGGGAGGGTCAACAATGACTAGTTTAAACTTGACCAGCTTTGAGAAACCCTTCAATTTCAAGGTTGACTTGCATGAGGTCCGATGACAGAGATGAAGCGTGAGATTGGTAATGTTTGGAAAGCAATTGAGGAACATTATTGTTCGCTCATGCGAGACACCAGATCCGGAATCAATAAGGCACAATTCTTTGATCTTCATGCCACCTTGCCTGAAGACAACTACAGCATTTTCAAAGCACCTATCAACATTGCTGCTTAGAACACAAACCTGAAGAAGCTTCAATTTACTGCAATTTTTCAGGATTGACGTCAACTTGGACCTGGCATGTTCGTGATCGATTGTGGCGCTTGAGCTACTCATCACCAGCAGGAGACTTTGCAAATTAGCCCACTTCGTAAAGACGTCATCAATGTACGGGAATCTGAGGTCTTCGTATCGTAACTCGCAATGCTTCAGCCCGTGGTCATGGTTAAGGTCAATAGTAGGACAGAGTGCCGAGTCAAAGAGACTCACTGACACATCACTATTTTGAACATAATGCCACTCAAAGTTACAGTCCTTATAATGATGAAGCAACATTTTAAAAAGTGGAAGGCTTTCGGGGAACTTGAAAGGTAGTGCCAGGTGCTTGAGTTTCGGGAAGGACAGAGGTAAGTTTTCACCAAGAGAGAAGCGTTCATTAACCAAATTCAGAGCTTTGTCTTTGAAAAATAGGCGGCTCAAGTCATCATTCTTCAGAGTAGAGCTGCACAGCGCAGGCAGGTAAAGTCTTTCTAGATTCTTAGCTTGATCACGTATGACTCGGAGAGAGGAGAGTTTATCGTCAACCAGCGCCCTAATTTCGGTCAAATTAGGCATCATTGGCAGACACGCGTCAAGAACCTCAGAACACAGCGAGTATTGGTAAGATACTAGAGTCGTTACACGCGGGAAGGTAATTTTCAGGGCGCTGAGAAGTATGATAATTTTTATGTAGTGATCTTGAAAAATGAAGGTGTTGCTAAATATAAGTTGTAGAAGGGCATCTGCTTCACTTGAGCTCATCATCTCAGCCCGCACCGAGACACGGCGACGGAGTAAAATCGCTACAGATTTGGGGACGTCGTCCATCACTTTGTTCACTTTTGCCGCCAGACACGCCTGTAGGAACAAAATCCTAAGTTCAGTAAGGGTGGCAAATAATCAACATTGGTTGAGGGTAGTGGTGAGGAAGTTTTTCGGAAATTGTATTTTTCGTAGTGAAAATTTTTTTCATTCATTCATTCATTTACTTTTTTTTTATTGTTAAATCGTGTCATTTTGTATTGCTTTTATGATTATCCCGCAAATTTTGTAATGTAAATGTGAATAGAGATATTGTTGATTGAAGTGGATCCCATGGCATATTCTAGGTAATATAATTTTGACAAATAAATTGGTAATGAAATAATATGATCACTAAATTATATTCTTTCGCCATGTACCTGTGGTTCCTCGATATATATGAGAACAATTCCTGTAATAATATCTTGCAGCATCAAGGCTATAATATCGTTTTTAAACTTGCTTATATGTCTAGCATTAATGGTGAGTATTACTGTCAGTGCTATCTACCATTAGTGGCAAATGCAAAGCCAAAATAAGAAAGTATGCATGATTGTAGCTGAGGGTGAAACAGAGGGAATGACAGGAGAGAGAATGAGCATGTAACACCTGATGGTGGAATATGAGGCATAAGAAAGAATGGTGAGATAAAATGGAAAATGATTCTAAATGATTGTAGGGGGTTTGAGTGAATAGGTGAAGATTTGCCATCAGTGATAGAGGGTTAGGCAATGGCAGCAACAGTGACAGGGATTGGGGGTGCAAATAAATACTGGGAGCGAATGTGAAGGCTAAACAAGAGAAGGAGGATGCCAGGAATGGTCTTGACCATTCGTTAAAAATATGAAGAATAATTCAATGAAAATTTAGGAGAATGTGACATGGCATTTTAGGAGTTGGGCTGACTGCAATTTTTGAATATGTATGTCCTATATAAACATATCCTCTGGCCTGAGGTCACCACACCTTTAATTTCAGCCATACGATTGAATGTGTGGGAATTCTAACTTTATATTATCAAATGTTCTCTCACTGTGAATGGCAATATGGTGCAAATGGCAACCAATGTGATTCTTTAAACGTTTACAAATTATTTTATATTGATAGTCTAGCGCGACATGCAGCACCTGCGGCAGCTCCTCCAAAATGTGGGTGTTGTTTCAGTAATTACAAATTTTATCATCTCTTCAGATTGAATGTTACTTCATCTGTCACATACATCTACTACATCTTTATTATGTTAGCAATTCGAAACTTATAATGTACATATACAGTAAATGTATTATACGCTTATACATAGCTACAGCTACAAATGTACTCATAAATTCATTTCCCATGTTTTTAGATTGGTAAATTGTAGTTGTGAATATTTTAAAGCTGAGAAAAATGCTATTATAATACAAAAAGATTAATTACACTCAAAATTTCCCTTTTCAGGTGATGACATAATAAACTTGAAAAAGGTTGTCTACTTTAGCCCAATGCATATTTTCTATTCGCAACAATAATAATGGGCAAATATTCTTTTTCAAAAAGTGAGAAGAGAACCTCATTGTTGTCCAAAAATTAAGAGAAAGTTGTCAATTGTGAGAAACTGTTTGATAAGAAGCAGGAGACCCAAATGGGTTCCAGGAGATATTTCTTCATTTAAACATTAAAAAATAGTCAGAAATATATAAATGATTAATGACCAGTGAATGCATTATATTCCGATTTCTGAAAGTCAAAAATTTCTTCAGATGACTAATGGATCAAAAGGCAGGTCCTAGCAAGTACATATAATATATTCAACAACGCTTTGAATGTATCAGCATTCGTTTTCAAGTCACAAGAAGCATTCAAAAAATAAAATTTTGGTGAACATAAGTACATAATAAACGAAAATAGGATAGAACACGGGAATTTTGTAGTGGAAAAACACTCTGAACACTACTATCTCAAAATTCAAATAATTTTGGTAGTTTGAAAACAGACAGCTGAGTCCAATTTTCATAGATACCGTAATGATTCCAGCTATCTTCGGTTGGTTAATATTGGGAGCAACAACATGATGACGAAGCTGGTGGGTTCCTCTAGCTCAGTGCGAGCTACGGTCTTGTGAGCTTGTCTCTCTGAACCCTAGACTGTAGGTGGCAGGTGAGACGGTCTCAATGTCGTGGTTGTTGGTCCAATAACACCAATGTAGTCCAAATATTGAAGAAGTCTACAACCTTCTATGAGTATTACAAACAAGCAACTTCATCTCATGATCATCAGTGAATTCAACTGGCTTAGTGACACTCTTGACAACAACGGCAAGCTATGGACTAAACGATCTCTGACGCGTCTACGTTGTTGTTGTTGTAATTGCCCACCCTGGTAGTGGCGACTAGGGAGGGGGATGATAGGTCAGTTTTTCCGGGCATTTGGTGCCACTGGTAGTTCTACGACCTTCACTGGCTCTCTGACCCGCCAGAAACATTTATTGCATTACATAACACCCTGGACCAGCCAGGTACTCATTTTTCAACCAGAGTTGGATGAATGACCGAGTTGACCATGAGCTGAGCTTCCCGGAAGAACTTGTCTCCAGTGGGACTCAAAACCCGGGAGCTGGGTGCAAGAGTCTCTCACCACTGCACCACCAGAGCTCTCCGTGTCTACGTCGTTGGGTTACCCTGGCCTGCGCGTCGGCCGGATGCCCGGCATACTCGCGGGTCAGGCCAAAGGGCAGAGGCAACCCCGCCCAAAACGCTGCCGGACGGAGGCTCCTTTCTTCATTTTTTCGCCTAAGGGTAGGGAAACCTCGGCCTCCCCTTCCCCCTACCCACATCTTTGGCCGCCTATCTTTCCTGGGGCACATTATACCATTCTCTCTTCTCACCTTTTCTTCCTAGTCGTCCTTCTCCTCCTGACCCAGGGTATCCATCCCAACCCCGGCCCACCCTTGCTTAGTCTGCTCCCTCCCAGTTACGTGGCGTGGATTTTCGTTCCTGTGCTCCAGGTGCAACGCCTGGACCCACAAGCGAAGCTCCGGCCTGCGCTCCATTCATCTTTACTCCGAAGACTGGATCTGCCCTACGTGCAGACGGTCTGACCCGGTCCCAGCCAAACCCCCTTCACCTCGCCCCCCCGGCTTCCCCCCATGCTGGCTCCCTCCCACCTCTGCGTCTTCCAGTTTAACTGCAATGGGGTTCAATACAGTGCAGTTGAACTGGCTGCTTACCTCGCCAAGAGCGACGTGGCGATTGCTTGTCTCCAAGAGACCAAGCTATCTGCTGCATCCCGCTCCCCGTCCTTCCCCGGATACGCGCTGGAGCGCAGGGACCGCCCCGGAGGTCACGGTGGCGGTCTCCTCATCCTGATCCGCAATGATGCCCTCTACACCGGGCGAGACATCTCTCCCCTCATACGCGGCGACACCACCATGGAGGCCATAGCAATCTCCACCCCTCTTAATGGCTCTCCTCTCTACGTCATCAATGCCTACATCCCACCGGCCTCCTCCTGCCCACCGGGATATTCCCCGGAGCTCTCAGACATTTTCTTTATCCCGGGTGACTGTCTGATAGTGGGCAATTTTAACGCCCATCATCCCTCCTGGTTCTCCCACACGGAAGACCAGAGAGCCGCAGCGCGAGGAACAGAGTGGACGACCTCGTCGCTGGTTCCTTCCTCGCCTACCTCTATGAGGACTCCCATACCCGCCTCTTCTCCCATGGCCCGTCCACCACACTGGACCTCGCCATCATCAGCGGTCATCTACTCTCAACACCTCCTGGACTCCTCAAGTCGCTCTCAACTCGGACCACCTGCCTATCCTGATTCATCTCCCTACCTCTGCCGACTCCCCTACCCCCTGGGCCGCCCGCTCATACGTCAACTTCAAAAAAGCTGACTGGCCCGCCTACACGGCAGCCATCGAAGCGGCACTCGAGATGGTCCCTCCCCCCACCTCGTATGGCGATGAGTCGACCTTGAGAAGAGTCCTGACGGCTGCTGCCAGACAGCATATCCCTGCCGGATACAGGAAGGACTCCTCTCTGACAACCTTGGCACCCGGTTGGTCATCGAGCAACGGGATGACATCAGGGCGCGCAACCCAACCAAACCCCGGCTCTCAGAACTCAACCATGAAATCGGCATCTCCATGCAGGCCCATGCCTGGAACACTTGGCGAACGCATCTTGCGTCGTGCAGCAGACGCACGAACCAGTCCAAACATTGGATTCTCCTTCACTCCCTAGCCGGAAATCGTAACCGCCCTCCCCCCAATCAGCCAATCCAATTTGGGCTGAATTCCCTCTCCTCCCAGCACAAGATCTCCTCCGCCTTATGCAAACTCTTCACTTCGATCGCTCCTCACTCTCAAAGCCCCTCCACCCGCCGCCTCACATGTCGAATCCGGGCTGAACATCCCTTCGACAGGGACTTCTCACTTTTCACACCCGACATGTTGAAGCTTGCCATCGCAGCCGCCAACAACTCTTCCGCTCGAGGTCCAGACGGCCTCACGTTCCTTCACCTTAAGCACCTCGGCCCAGCGGCCTCTAGTTCCTTACCTCCATTTTTAACATCTCCGTCTCCACAGCTTCTATCCCATTCATTTGGAAAATTTCAATAATTATTTCAATCCTTAAACCGGGCAAACCTGGAAACCAGGGCTCTTCATACCGCCCTATCTCCATCCTCTGCCCTGCAGCCAAGATCCTGGAGCGTCTTGTGCTCCCATACATCTTGGGATCTCCCATCACCGTCCCCTCGCAACATGGTTTCGAACAGGGACACTCCACGGTCACCGCCCTCCTCCCGCTCGCGCACCAGATCGCGACGGGTTTTAACTCTCGGAGCCCTCCAGCCCGCACAGTCGCCGCTGCAGTCGACCCCTCAAAACCTTTCGACAGTATCGACCACCCTCTCCTTATAAGCGTGATAGCGGCCTCGGACCTACATCACAACCTGGTCCGCTTGCTGTGCTGCTACCTCAGAGGCAGGCAGGGATCCTGCCTCTACCTCAGAACACAATCGCCTTTCAGAGCTATTCACTCGGGTGTTCCCCAAGGCTCGGTCATCTCGCCGGCCTTCTTTAACCATTTCATCTCCGATATCCCAGTGCCGACCCCCAACACTGCCTCATACGCGGACGATCTTACCATCTTCGTGTCGTCCCCGAGGCTCGATGCTGCAGAGGCTGAGCTCGCCATGCTCCTTCGGAGCGTCTCAGATTGGTCGGCTGCCAAAAAACAGGGCGTGGCTCCTGGCAAGTCCTCGGTCACGCACTTTACCCCAGATACTCACCAATCCCGATCCCACACATCTGTCACAATCTACTACGGCATCATCCCCCTGGATAAAACCCCCAAAATCCTAGGAGTCACCTGGGATACGCACTTAACGTTCTCCCCTCCTGTAAGAGCCATAGCCACGACGGGGCTATGGCTTGCTGGTACCAATTATGAATATGGCTTGCTGGTACTAACTGGGGCTTCTCCAAGGAGGACATTATTGCTACCTACCGAACCATCACGCTCTCAATCCTTAATTACGCAGCCCCAATCAGGCACCCTGTTGCCTCACGCACAGCAATTGCTAGCCTTCAAACCATACAAAACACTGCCCTGAGATTAGCTACCAGCTGCCTCAAAATTGCCTCGATCGCCCATCTTCACCAGGACAGGCGTCCTCCCATTGTACGCTCACCTGGACCTGGCTGGTGCCCAGTTCCTCTCTAGCGCCCTCCAGCCCTCCCATACCTCATTCCGCATCACTTCTGCTCCTCTTGGGGACCGCCCCATAAAAGCCTACATCCAGTCAAGGTTAAGCCAACTTGTCACACCATTCTTGGCTAATGGTATCATGCCCACCGGTGCCTATGGAAAGGACAAGCGGTCCCTCCGCAGGGAGATCGCCTCCCGCGTTGCAGCGACTGACGCTATCAACACCATCCTCACAGCCCCACCACCGCCGATTGCATCAGTGGAGGCCTCACTCCTTTGCCCCTACCGCTCGGCGCTATCCCAGCTCCGCTCCCTGGCGTCCTACTCCGCTAGGATCGGAAGCTCCCCTAGCTCCGCCTGCCTGGAGTGCGGGGATACCCTCCAGTGCGTCCAGCATCTCTCTGCCTGCCCCGCCTTCCTCACGTCCCTCAGCGTCTCCTCACTATGGGACAGCCCCGTGGAGGCAGCGGCGTTCCTGGCAGCCCTACATGCCTTCGCCAATCTCCCCTCTCTTCCGGTGCCTACCCCCCGACCACCACCTGAGCCTCCTCCGGCGAGCGTGAATCTGGTTACAACTAACAACAACAACAGCAGACTATACAAAACAATGGCCCTGCAAAAAAGCACGAGTTCTCCAAGAGGCTGGCATAAGCATAGACTGTAAATTTTGCTGCAAAGATGGTTGTACACTTCTTCATCGTTTGGACTACACTGGAGTAATTGGACCAACAACTACGTACATATGACTTTGACAATTTCAAACAAGCAATTTCATCTCAAAATCATTGATGAATTCATCTGGCTTGGTGATACCCTTGACAAAAACATTAAGCTTTGGACTATATAAAACAATGGCCCTTGCAAAAAAGCGAGAGTTCTCCAAGAAGTCAGTGTAATCTTTAAATATTACTTCAAAGAAGGTTGTAGACTTTGGACTATATAGGAGTAATTGGACTAACAACCATGACAACCATAACAAAATTTCATTGTTCAATGCTTCTTGTAACTTGAAAATGAATGTTGATACATTAAAAACGTCATTAATATACTTAAGTAACACTTTCTCAGACCTACCGGTACCTTTTGATCTATTGAAGTCATCTGAATAATTTTTTGACTCCCTGAAAATCGGAATATAATGCATTCTGAGGTCATTAATTGTACATGTTTCAACAAGAAAATTCTGCCAGCTAACCATATATAAATAAATGTATCTTAAAAATCAGATTCAATTGGCATACATCAAATGAAATAGACTATGATTAGTGGCAGCATTCACCAGAGGTTTTTTTATACTCCATAGTACAAGTTTCTCATCCGTGCTCGAGACCATTTGTTGGAAAATTCTTCTCAGTTCCCCTTTTGGGATGTCAGATGACTCAGTTCTGCAAAAAAAGTTGCTATTAATCTTCAATGAAATGGAAACATTATCAATAACCTATGGTAACTTCAATGCAAAAGTAACTTTATAGCTAGTTAATAATTACATATGTCACAGCTACCGATTTTTATGTCTCAAAAATTACAAAATTATCAACTTTCACAGAATTTTTGTATGTATTATGCAATTTCAAAACCAGTTACTTTTGAAATCAGCTGTAATAAGCATGTTAATAGAAGTTGCCAAAGAGCAGTAGAAAAAACAAGAGGTTTATAGGTAGGTACTAGGGCAAACAAGAATGCCAGAGTTTAATCAAAACCATCACTTAGCAAGGAATCACTATTACAGTTTTCATTGTAGCATGAATAAACAAGGAATCAAGTCCATACCAAGCCATACAGAATATTTTACTTACACCAATAGCTCTCAATAAAAACCATTGCAACAACAGCATCATTATTCAATTCCCTGCAGACAAATGGTTGGAAAAAGATTGGTACAGGCTCTGTTAACTCACATGACCATCCTAAGTAGGGCATAGAGCCAGTGAAAAGCCCCAGATTCAGCAACACTAAGAATGTATGCATCAGCAGCCAATATCTGCAAGTTGATTTTCTTAACAAAACTATTTCTCTTATTCAAAACTACTGAGCTGGCCATTGCAAATTGATAGTCAGGGCTTTGCTGATATGAATAAACTTGATACTGTAATCTTAACTACTGGTAGGTAATCCTGAAACAGAAAGGAATTTAGTTGGACCATGCTACTTTATTTGAACCAAATTACATAGGGAAATACAGCAATCCCTTGATTAACGCGGTTAATAAATCCCCGAGTTTTACCGTGTTAAGCAAAACCGCGCTAATCAAACTTAAGAATATATGGGAATAATTATAATGAATCCTCAAAAATAGCAAAGTTATATAATAATTTTTTTCCCACTAAAATTCATCATATTTCCACTAAAATTCATCACTGAATTATGTTTCGAAAGTGAAAAAACAATCTGAATTATTTTCAGATCAGGAGCAGTCTTTGTGATGTATGTACCAGCAGTAGCGGCGCGCCTAACTCCATCGAACGTCGTTCGAACGAGTTCACAACATGTGACGCTACCGTCACACTTGCGGCTAGACTTTAAAGAATTATTGGCTGAAATTCATAACATAAAGTAACAACATTTGGCAAATTTTTCCAAAAGTCGTAACAAAAGTAACAACATAAGATCTAATAAGCAAAAAGTAACACTTTTGTTATGAACGTACCTCTGGCTAGAGGCGGGAAAATGATGCGTTGTGAAAAAAAGTCGCGCTAATTAAAACTGGCACCGCGTAGATTAAGGGTAGGTCGCAAATTTTTTTTCCGCGTTAATCAAAACCGCGGTATTCAAAACCGTGCTAATCAAGGGATTGCTGTACAATTAAATTTATCAGCTTAAATGGTGGACATCATACCCATGCTATTTGATGATTTGACTAAATTCAAAGAGCTTGATTGGTTTCCAAACTGAGGCTGAATCACCCACAAAGGAGAGGGTGAAATTGAAAAATGACAAGAAAATATGGACTTTTATAAAAAGAGTGCATGAGCTTAATAAGCAGAACATGCTTATTGCTTGTATCATATAAAATAGAGCAACAAGTTCAAAAACATCAAGAACCACAGCCTTAACAAATTTCAAAACCCATTTGGCAATATTGATTTCAGTGATTTTAAATGCCATGGAAGAGCCAAGATTATTTATTTTATGATAATTGTTAAACATGAATACCAGAGCCCAGCACAGCATAAATAGTTACAAAGTTATTCTTCCCTTCAGAGCTTGATTCTTAGGCTATAACTTAAAACTAAGTCATAAGCCACCTGCAAAGAAGCCTACACTGCCTCCATCATAGACAAATTTACATTGGCCCATTGCATAAGTCCTGGCCCAATTGGTTGGAGCTAGTGATAAGGCTCAAGACCCATTTGGTATGGTTAAGAAACAGGCTTTTAATAAATATTGAATTTGAATGATTGGTTAGTTTATAGATGTGACAATACCAAACTATTTCCTGGTACTTATTAGATTATTCAAAATGGTATTACATTTAAAAGAAAATTTTCATTTGGATGAAATGACCAAGGTTTATGCTTCACAAAAAAATATATTTAAATAATAATATGCTGTAGTTAGGCAGAAGCTTTTCTTTTATGCAAGTTTGATTGAAGACCAGAGCATGCTTTTTATTAACAATCTTCTTGTTCATTTTTTCAATGAGTCGAACCAAATTTCTTGCTGGCGACGGGAGATCAAAACCCCTTCTTGTAACCTTCTTCACCTCTGTACATCAGAATCTCCCTTCCGGACTCCTGATAACAAAATTTACCGACAAATTAACGGCGTTGCCATGGGATGCCCTCTGCGACCAACTTTTACAGAATTCTATATGTGCAAACTGGAAAATCAAGTGTTGCTCAATACACAAATCAAGCCTGAGCTTTACTGCAGATACGTAGATGACATTTTTGTTGTCATTCGAGACGAAGAGCACTTGATCGAACTGCGAAGAGCTATGGAACATGAATCAGTCTTGAATTTTACTCATGAAATTGGTTAAAATCACAAATTGCCCTTCCTAGATATATTAGTGCGAATTCCTTTGTCCAATAAGATAATTCCTTTGTCACTAATGTTTACCGAAAACCTACCAATATCGGAAAAGTGCTTAACAAAGAAAGTGAATGCCCTCAACGCTATAAAACCAACACAGTGCGAGCTCTCATACAAAGAGCATTCAAGACCTGCACATCCGAGAGTGACTTGAAAACTGAACTCAGATCATGTAAACAAATTCTAGTGAATAATGGGTTTTCAAATAGAACAGTTGACATTGAAATATCAAATTACCGATCGAGAGAAAACCAAACTAACAATGAAGCAATACATGCAATATCTAATGGAACCCCCACAATGGTCTTCTACCAAAACCAGATGAACAGAGGCTACAAAGTGGATGAACGAGTCCTACAGTCAATCATCCATAATAATGTCAAGAGTACAACGGGTAACAAAAATATAAAACTTCTGATCTACTACAAAAATAAGAAAATTAAAAACCTTGTAATGATTAATAATCCCTGTAAAAAATCTGGTCTGCTTCAAGAAACTAATGTTGTTTATAAATTTGCATGTAATAGAGAAGGTTGTAGACTTCTTCCAAACAAACTACATTGGTCTTACAAGCACAACCTTGAGCCGACGACTCACATGTCACCTACAATCTGGAGGACCTAAGAACCACATGCGGGAAGCTCACAATGAGACCATCACCCAAGCAACATTGGAAGCCTGCACCAGCATAGTTATGCGGTGCCCTGACCCATCAAGACTGGCGATAGCTGAGGCCCTCATTATCAAGAGCGAGTCTCCGGCTATCAACCTTCAAACTACAGGATTTGTCCAGACACTGAAATTATTTTTGGAGTAATTTTTAAGCTAATATTTCGTATTGTATCTACTTTACCTTTGATATGTACTTCTGTCATTTCAAAATTCAATTTCAGATGTTGTAAAACCTTCACCAGCTTGATAATGAAAATTGTATTTTCGAAACGTCGCAATCTATTAAAATATCATTCAGAAACCTGCTTTTCGATCTCCCGGCGCCAGCAAGAAATTTGGTTTGACTCATTGAAAAAACAAACAAGAAGATTGTTAATAAAAAGCATGCTCTGGTCTTCAATCAAACTTGCATAATAATATGCATAGATATATGACCAAGTTTTCTCTTTCCTTTGGTTATAAAAGCATTATCACTGATTGGTCTCCTCAATTGGCAGTACCGTATCAGTATACCTATATAGCAACACCCCACTGCTTTAACCCTATGTGGCACTCTGTTCATTACTTATTCGAGATAATCTTAAATTTAATGAAAAATAAGATTGCAAGGTAGCACAGAGCTGGCAACTTGAGAGTGTTGCTAGAGGCCATGATATATACAAGTTAATCAATACATACACGGCGCTGGCTGTGGCTGCAGGGGGACGTGTGCTGCTGAGTCCATTTACAACACACTAGTGCAAACATCTGATACCTACATGTTTGAAAACTGCATCACAAATATTTACAAGATAGTTCTTTTGACTTAGAGGACTACACTTTGACAGTTTCCTGACATTGAATTTTGTGCCTTCAAATTTGACTGTGGCTATTGTTACTGTCCCAATACCGACTGCCATCTTGGGGTTTGGGGACTCAAGGTAGTTGAGCACGTGCGGCCCCACATGCAACCAGACATCCCAGTGACCAATTACGGCGGGGTAGTTTCCATTGCCAGTGGGGGCATGCACCTAGCCATTCTTGACATTGGCGCCTGACACCTCTTTTGAGTTGCTGTGTGCTAGGGTCACCTGTGCCTTGTTTACAGGCATTGCTGTCACCAGATACTGTCCCAGATCAGTGTCTGTGTCACATGATTTTTCATATAATTGAGCAAGGTCTTCATTAGACTTGAGACTTTGCCTAATAATTTCCTTATTGCCAGTGATTTGAATGTTTGACTGGATTGCATTGAAGACCCATTGGCTCATCAGCTGAACAAACTTCTGGCCACCTTTGGGCTTTGGCATGGCTTGTCATGTGACCTTGCCAGCGCACGATATAGGCGGGCTGCTGCACTCTGTCATCATGCGTGCCGACCTTCAAAGTCTGCCAGTTCACATCAGAGATCGCAATGTCCAACCATCAACTACTTCAGTGGACAGTGCCATGTGTGCTCCCAGTGCCAGCATACAAGACTGTTACCTGTTGTCCGTGGTGGTTTCGATGTGATATCTTATGCAAAAAGGTGCAATTGTCCTGACTATGTCAGCCTGACTCATGGTTGGTACTATCAGTCAATGATCTCATGCAACTCTACAACACCAAAATGACCTGTGCACTCAATGACCTCATACCTACATGCACAGTTTGGGTACCCCAACAAGTCTCCAACCCATAGTTCAATGATGAATGTCTAGTCTCAAAGCAGGGGATTTGACAGCTCCAGCTAGCGTCTACTGGACAAACAGATGCGGCAATCCTGCTTCTACAGCTGCTGTGGCCTCCACCTGGCAAGATGCGTGGCACATATGTCGTCCTTTGTTCTAGTCATTTTGGCACCAGATAGTCAACACACAATGCAGCAATCCTTGAGAACTGTGGCATTTGCTGGATAAACTCATAGGAAGAGGTCATACAGAGGCTTTCAGTGATGTAAGCCTGGAGGAATTCCATGCAGATTAAAAAGACAAAATTTCTGCTCCACAAGCAACATTGGCCAATGCTCTGCCAGCAGCATTTGCCCCCACACCCATTCAACTGCGTGCTTCAAGAATTAACTCACGTCACAGCTGATGATGTCATTGCTGCAGTGCATGCACTGCCACAAGCAGTGTGCCAGCAATCCATTGCCAATGTCATTACTTAAGGGGAACGTTGTAATCCTAGCACCTTTTCTGGTCAAACTTTTCAACCACTGCCTCACTGACCGTGTTATTCCAATGAAATTAAGGGGAGCGTCTGGACCATTTTGTATCTTGGTTATTTACAGACAGATTACTTTTAAGCTTGGTACACATATGTAAAACAGAAATCTGAGACTCTTTTGTTGATGTAAATTTTTTGAAAAAAAAAAATGAAATATGAAATTCTTAGAAAATGGTCAAAAAAGAAGAATTGTAGAAATCTATCTCCTCCTAGAATTTTC